TTCTTCAGAGGAACCCATTATATTGGCCACAACATCTGCTGGGAGAACTGTGTCAAAGGGTCTGAGCACATTAACCGTTTAACACAGAACAGTTCTTCAGCTGTCAGCTAAAAGAAATTGTTCCGTGATTTACGATCAGCACAAAAATTATCAATCTTCCCTCTTAAGTGTACTCACCTAAAAATACAAACTAATGGTAAATTAAAAGCAGTAAAGACTTCCAACAGGTGCAAACCCCAGATGTTTCCATCTATTAAAGGCTTTTTCTGCTTCACAAAGTAGAATAATAAGTGTCTTCTGGGTCCCAGGAAATCAACTGTTAATGCTACACAAGCATAAATCTACCTAGAAGGAGTGATTACTTGCCTATTTGATATGCCTGTTTTGTTTGGCAACCTTCCCCTCCCTGGGGATGAATCAGGGAACACAATTCATCCTCATGGGGTGGAGGGAGGCAGGACCAGAACGTGACGTGTACCCACACGTATTCATTGCTGAGCTCACTTGGAACATCCCCACTGAAATCCTGTTGCATCCAGTTGAAGTTCTCTCATTTTCTAATTGCTTCAGTGTCCTTCTTTCACAACAGGCAAGGGCTACGAGTTTGGGCACCTGGCCTTGCAGTCAGCTGTGCCACTGAACAAATCCTACTCTCAGTATACACGCAAAGTAAAAATGTCTTACTGAGCACATTTTCAATTTTGTTACTTAAGAGAAAGACTAAGTGTGTGTCCACAAAAGCAGGTCCTGAAAAGATTAACCTGTTTCCACAGGCTGACTTGCTCTAGCATAAAAATGTTCTCACATGGAGTAGAGGCATGACAGATGTCCTTACGTAAGGGAGCATCACCATCTCCTTTCACTTCAGGTTCAGACAGTTCCCAATGGCCCCTCACCTCCAAACAAATTCTTTCCTATTTTTGAAAGGAAAAGTTCTCTCATTGTATTTCCTTCCCTTAGCACCTTTAAACGCTTCTTACATAATTCCTTATCTTTGACAGAGAAGTATCATTCTGTCTCTTGCTCTCTAATTTTCCTACCATGTCCTGTCACTGCAGGGATATAACCTTGGGCTGACTGCTGAGCTTTGGAGGTATCAGTAACTCCACCAAGCAGAACACAGGAAGTCAGATGAACCACTAGACACGGAGACCAAACCAAGCCTATATTTACAACAACCATCATAATTAGCATCCAGATAAGACATACAGAAACTCAAAGGTACGGAGCAGGGAGAAGGTGTTCTGTGCATAGCAAGTAACAACACAGAAAGAAAGAGAATCATAGGAAAAAACTAGCCATGAACAGAACAAGCATAATTTTGTTGTTCTGCCAGTGGCCTTGTGACACACACAGACTGTCCCTTCTTCCCTCTTTCCAGGAACAGGTACCCATGCCCAGAGAGCAGCAGTGGTCCTTCTCTGAACACTTATGACCTTCCCGAGGGCCAACTCCCTGTGCTGTTAATCTCCAGATACTGTTCCTGAGGCAGAATGACCTGGATCCAATGCTCACCACTGCTACAACTGCATTTGTAGAGCAAAGGAAGAGGCAGGACACAGGGCTGGAGTCTTACAGGAGGGCAGATGCCCCTTCCCTTGTCAACAGCAGCAAACCATTGGTTTAAGGAGCAAAACCACTCTTCAGAAAAACTAGTGACAACTGTGTGCGACTCACAGGGAGAAGACAGAGTTACTTCATCGACAAGCATTCTCAAAGCATTAGCAGACTCTGCTGTGCACCTGTCGCATATCCAATGGTGACTTCCTACACAGGAAGTCCTCTGCATCCTATCTTACCAAAACAAGATAAAAACTATGTCAAAATAAAGCAAGCAAAAAAACCCCAAACAACAACAACAAAACCATTTAGGGGAGCAGCATTTAATGCAGATATGCCCCTCATACTGCCTCAGCAGATTACAGAGGTCTGTGCCTTCCCCCTTTCACTACCCCCTTTGGCAGAAAGCAGCCTGCCAGATTCCAATGTCCGCCTGTGGAAAGGGGGAAGCTCCGAGTATGTCCCACACCGAAACCGAAACGGCACTGGAGATAAGCCAAAAGACAGGACACGTACACGCACCACGAGCTTCCCCCCTTTCCTGCACCGTAATTTAAAAGCCTCTAGAAACAACAGGATTACCCACGCAGGCACCCGGGAGGTTTATTATCCCGACTCCCAGCGCGTGACCGGAGCCGGCCTGGCCCGGGGGAACCGCGGAGCCTCTCCCGAGGCCCAGACCGAGGCCAGAACCCCCCGGGCCGCTCTGCGGAGCCAAAACGCCCCCGGGCCGGGAGATGGAAGCTCCCGGGAACGGGCACCGGGCGGGCACAGGGAGCCCCTCGGCCGGCAGCTCCGAGCGACCCCATCCGTCCTTACCGGCGGGAGCAGCAGGGCCCCCAGCAGGGCCCACAGCAGCCCGGCCGCCCCCATCGTCCTCCGCCGGCCGCTCGGGGAGGGGCCTCGCTGGGCTCGGGCTCCGCTCGGCCCCGCTGAGCCCTTCCCGGCTCCCGGCGACACTTCCTGTTCCGTGCGGCGGCCCCGGCCCGGGCCCGGGACGCGGCGGGTCCGGCGGGGCGGGGGCGGCGCTGGGGCGGCCACTGGGGCTGCGCGTCCCCGCCCCGCCCGCACCGCCTCCCTTGGCTGCGGCTCCCGGCGGGCCGGGGTGTCCGCCCGGCAGCGGCAGGTGAGGGGGTTTGGGCACCGCCGGGAGCCCCGGGGCCCCTCGGGGCCGTTACGAGGGAGAGGGAACTGCTTGGCTGGCCCCGCGTCTCCCCAGACAAAGCGCGCCGGGTGCTTCGCCCCAGCCCAGCGCACACAAAGCCGTGCGAGGGAGGCGTGGGGAGGAGAGCAGGATGTCCTGCGTGACAGCAGCGAGTACAAGGAACGAAGTGTGACCTCTGACGAAAGGCTGAGGGTTCAGAGATGTCTTCCAGGTTTCGAGAGCTTTAAAAGGGCTGTGATGCATCACATGTAAGAGCCAGCAACGACTTTGTGGGAAGGAGATGGGGTGAAACAGCTCCGTGATTTACCAGCAAAGGAAGTTGTGCAACATCTTATTATTTTCAGTGGAGGTTTTCCCACTCCAGAGAGTCGGGTCTGCCTCAGGGCCAGCGTGCACAGGGAAGGGAAAGGGGTGAAGATAAGAAAGATTGTTGTAGATAGAAGGGGATGTGGCCATGAGCCAAACGAGGGAGGAGTGAGGGAAAGGGAGAGGCAAGAGGATGACAGTGGAGGTCATCCTCTGTCTTAAGTGGGTAGCCCACTTGCTTTGAGTTGCTCACAAACTAAGTGGTTACTAGTTATTACTACTGAGGAAGGAGATTCCTTCACGCATGGTTTTCCCTATGCGTGAATTTGAGGACAAAGCAACATAAAACGTCTACAGAGAACATTCCCCACTGCATTATGGCAATTCTTCAGGAAGCTGTTCTGTTGCTATAAAAATCTGAGTAACTTTTACATACCTGTATATAAGGAGTGTTTTGATCAATACTGATATTTGGATGGTAACAGATAAGCTTTTGTTTTTCCCTCAGTGACAATCTGCAATTCATCACTATATCAGCAACAGAACAGGCTTAAGCATCTTATAGAACTGCTGGGCTGCAAAAATGTGTCTAGTAATTTATTATGCTTAAACAGTGAAAGATAATGGAACACTGTGAAACAGCTAATAATTCATATTCTATGCAGAATTGGTATTTAAAAAAAAACAACAACAAACAAACAGGCTAGTACATTGTCCATCTGTGTGTTTCTATTTTGGTGCTGTTGTCAGAGTAACCATGACACTTTATCTCGACTACTCTCTCTTCTTGTGGGTCTAACAAGATCTGGATGACAGATGAAAACCGATTACTTCAATAAATCTGACACTTCTGTGATCTGTAATAAGAAAAGGGTATGTAGACAACTGTATTTTGGGCATGGAAGAAGTGTTTAATTTGAATTGCAAGTTCACAGCTGCTCACAGGAGCACATTCCATGGCACCATGTCCTGTCCTACCACGTACTAATCCCTCTCCCTGTGTTCCCTAGGAAATCACAGCAGCTTTTATTCTTTCTGCAGCTGGGAAATAAAATGGACCAAGGAGAAATAGGAATATGATTTCCTCTGAATAAAAGGGAATTTCCCTCTCAAAAAGCATATGTTTGGTTTGATGTCCCCTGCCTTGATGCATGTTTAAAGAGATTGTGAAAACATCTCTTACACCAAACACATATCCTGCGGTCCAGCAGGACTGGGTGATTTAGAAATACCTGCACTGAAGAGCCCACTTTTAGGACATCAGGGAAAACTTCTTAGGTTATCTTTATTGGCAACTTCAGTAATCCCTAATTTGTACCATTAGCTTTAATGTGTAACCAAAACTAAAACCATGACGTACTCTCAAATTTCAACACTATGAGGAAAACTAGATTTTGTTCATATATGTGCCTTCCCAGGTAGGCACATTTGGGAGAGTGGCTATCAGCATTTGGTATTTAAGAGAAAACATTGCATCATTTTTGGAGGACTGAGATTGCAAAAGTGACTAGACTCTGCTCACCAAACTGTCATACAAAAATCAGGACAGAGGGGATTTTGGGTGCATTAATCAATGAGCTTCAAAGGGATGAAGGAATTTTTAACATGTTATATTAAATTCTAAGAACATTGTCCCAAATACTGAATATATTTTTAAGAAAATTAGTAGGCAGTAGAGAATAGGGCAGAATAAAACAGGTGACGAGGAAAAGGAAGTGGCTTTAACCAAAGAATATTTTACTTCATTCCATAAACTCTTTTCCGTGCTTTATACTTTCACAGCTTTTTGGCTGGAGCCTGGAACAAAACAGCAAAATAGCACTGTGAAACCTCTTGGTTAAAAGGGCACAGGAAACGTTGTTGCTGACACCTGCTGTCTGTGTGAGACAGGCACACACAGCAAGCACGGGGACAGGTGCAGCCAGATAGGACCTGTAGCTCCTGGGGAGAGAGTGATCCAGAACACAGACAGTGTTTAAGAACTATTTATTAATACAAGCACATATAGCAACTTTTCCCCATGGACTAACAGCCTTATCTGAACACCAGTAAGTATTAATCTACGCAAGCAAGACATACCCTAGTTCACTGAGTGTTATGCAGCAGAGAGAACAACTAATTTAAATGCGTTTTCAAGGTGATGTTTAAACTAGTTGAAAGAAAGTAGTGAAAGCCTTACTCATACACCATTATGCAGCAAGGCCACATTAGCATGCATTAATGAAGGGCTGCAAACCTTATTTTTGAATTATATTTTCAAGTTTGTATCACACCTCAAAGGTATTGAGTCAGGTTTTAATATTCCCTGTGGTAGAGACTGCAAGGGTAAATGTGGGTAAATGCATTTAAAAGCATATTTCTTTCACCATTAAAATGCAGCCTCAGCTCATGTTGAGTCTGGACTTTCAAACTTACATGTATTAGATCAATTTTTTAAAAATAAATTTATGTCTAGAATAAGTGCCATTGTTTTGTCAGATCTATGAATCCTTAATTTCAGAGAGCTCACTAATTACTGGTTATCAGGGTAGTCTTCATTCACCTTTAGACTCAGCTCAGGTAAGTTATGTAAAATGTACATGTATTTCTTAAGCACCAGCAAGATCAGATACATGTAAATATACTACTATATATAAAATAAAAATAATCCTGTAACCAAACCCTTTTTCTAGCTCTTTGATGAAGAAATATGAAATTAGTCATCCACTTGTACAGGCCAATGTCAGCTTTAAAAACACATCAAATTCTCTCTCAGTAGTTTAAATGTAGATTTTAAGTCCATTTTTTTTTAACTTTCAGTAAGCCAGAGCAATCATACTAATTTCAGTTTAAAAGAATGGCTTATTTCCTTACACATTACTTAAGATGAAGGTCTAAATATATACATATATATTAAAACATATATTAAAGCAGTAAAAGACATAATTCACTCTTTTTTTTTCCACCCCTGAATTAGGGCGGGCCCTTAGTAATAATAACCTTGGTTTTGTTCACTTTGGATTCATATGCAAATATCAGAGGAAACTTAAAATTTGTTTAGAGTATTCTTCCCTTTTACATTGTTTTAATAACAGCACAAAATTTAAAAGTTAAAGTAGTTTCAAGTGGCCTTGATTTCATGAGTAATTTATTGTAGAGGTCTCAACAGACACCTCAAAGTTGTTGTTCTTGTCCAGCTGTTACTTCTGTCCTCTAAATGAGATTAAAACTAGGTTAAGAGAAGAGAGCTTCTATTCAAACTAAGGTTTTGGGTATCATTTTAGGATTTTGGTCATGCTAATGGGATGCACAGAAAGGGGATATATGGAACAAGTGACAACCACAAGGTGTTCAGTAGCCTTCAGTAGCAAACCTTGCTGAGGTGGGTTCAGGCAGTGCAGAGGCCAAAGCAGACCTGCCATGGCTTCCCTGTACACCCCCCTGTCCCTGAAAGGGCACAGATCTGTGTTCCAACCTGAGCTTGCACATCTCTGAGTTCTCAGGCAAAGGCAGCAGCCTCAGTATCAAGTACTTCAGGCTGGGAGCTTTTTTGGCACAGGAACACCTCTTAGTAACATCCCTGCCTACTCCAAGTGCTTTCCCTGTGTTCTTTTGTCTTTCCATTCTCTATACAGCATCAGGAGAAAAGGTGTTAATGGAACTCTGGTGTAGCCATGGTGGCCTCTGGACATCTCAGCCTGCAGAGATTACCCAAACTTCCTCAGGCACAAGGAAATCTTTGTGACCCTTCACTGTGATTTGTCCCTATCCTTCCAACACCTGGAATCTGAATATCAGATGGATCTAGTTAGTCTTCCAGAAGCTTTAGCAGCCCAGTGGACCAAAGTGAAATACCCTTTTACTACTGCTATTTTGCATTCACTAAATTTATTTGGTTTGTTTTCCATTTGGTGCAGCAGACCTCAGCATTTAGAATATCTGCAACCTCACACACAGCAGAAAAAAAGAAAGAAAAAAAGAAAAAGAAAAGAAAAAGCCATTTTATCTCCCAAACATATATGTGACATCAGCTGTAACAGCTGACACCAGGGCTACTTTTCTGGGTGGCTCCATACTTTCTGTAAACAGCTTTGTAAGCCACTGCAGGAAGAGGATACTGTCATTCATTAAAGTGATATTGGCAATCTGAGTCTCAAAGTCCCAGCTTAGTCATGCATTAAGTGTCCAATTTCCTCCATATACCAATTTATGCACATATTACAGGTATTTTCCAGTTGATACCAACAAAGCTGTCTTGTGCACTGCAGATAACAAATGTCAACATGCACATGTTCTGCTCCTTCCTCATACCTGTGTACCACAGTGCCTCTCCAGGGATAAGTCTCCCTCACTTCTATACCTCATTGTTTCTGTAGTTCCTCATGTACCCATCAGCCTGTCCAACACCTTCCCTGGAGAACAAAGCCATAACAAGGGGACCCTGTGCTTTCACACAGCAAAGTAGAGCTGTGCCACAGTGTGACAGGATTAAGTCACTCCACAGCTTAAGGCTCTGTTGAGGAAAAAGCTTTCCAGCAGGCCAGTTCCTAGAAAGGACCTGTTCTGTACAGGACTAGAAACCTTTTACATATACACTGTAATCACATAAATATCATCAGGAAAACTACTGTTGTAAGTACCTTGGGCCTTGTGTGTCAGACAAATTAATGTGAATGAAGAAAGGACAATTTATCTGCAGAAGTCCAAGCACCAACCACTTAGAGCATCCCCTTAGGGACACAGGACTTCAGCTGTAGAGGTGTGCAGCTAAATTTTTGAATTTCAAGCATGAACTGCTACTTTTGGGTCTAAACTCTGTCGATTCAGTCTCTGTACGAAGACAGAAAGGTACATAGTAAGAGTGGTACTATAGTAGTAAGGAGTAAAAATGCAAGTCTCAACTTTTTAAAAATAACTAAACGAGAGTTTTATTCCAAGCAGCCTTGGTTTTAGAAAAATATTCTATTTATGGTTAGTCTGTGTTTTCTGCCCTAAAACCAATCTGCAATCTAATGAACAAGGATTTTTTTGTTTCAGAACTCCACATCTTTGACATTAGCCCTTAATGTGTGATTCACCCGCCTTACAGATTTTAGAATTCAAAGTCTGCCTCCAGGAGCCATAAACCAGAAGCACAACCTACTAAACCAGAGTTCAGAATTACCCTTGGCAATCTGTCCCATTGAAGAGTTTGTTCTCCTGAGAACAGAAGACAGAAACACCAGGAAGGAAGATCTGGCTTCTACCTCATATTCCCCAACTGTCTGACTTCATCTCAGTGATTTCCTAACACAGCAAAACAACTGCCTGAGATTCTTGACTGTACGAATTTGCAGAACCACAAAGTATCTGGAAGCCTTACAGGAACCCACTCACCACAGGATATCTGCAGTGGGGTTAGAACAGCTGTAAAACAGCACTGTTGTCTTCTGTAGTTCCATGGCAATTATGAAAGGCAGACAAGATCATTCTTATCTTCAGCTGTTGGGTTTTTATGGCAGTGCCACAGTGCTGATAGCAAAGTAAATCTGACCATAGTCAGGAGCAGCCTTTCATTGACAGATCTGATTATTTTTTTTCAGTGTTATTGCATCTAGTAACATGTAATGAATTTCACGAACATGGAAATTACATTGTTGAATTGTGCTTGTTCTTGCTGGCATAGTGAGATTAAGGGTATTTATTAATCTCTTAACATTTTTGTCAGTACAGAGTGGAAACTACAGAAGCACCTGATGGTCCGATACGGCAAGAGCATATGAAGGAACAGCACTGCATGCCTGGGTTACAAGTTATCTATCACAGGCTAACTGGGAACATAGAATGACAGCATATAATTGTTATAAAGCTGCTCTACAGGAAACATTAGACATATTGTGTAAAAGCCAAATACCTTTTCTATATTGACCACAGGTTTATGTAGCATTATGGGACAGTCAGTAAAGCCTAGCAGGGACATCAAGGGATAAGACAGGCAGTATTGGAAATAATTCCACCTTCCACGACTTTTTTAAGGAAGCAAACAGTGGTGGCTCTGACAGATGACATATAAAACACTCCATCCTGCTCTGCTTGCAAGGGATTTTACTTCTGACTACAAAAAGAAACCATAAAATGCCACCAAGTCAGAGCAGTAATAGCACTTGATTGTCTTGACAAAAGGTCTTCACAGCCTACAAGATACTAAAAAAGTTTGATCAATTGGTATTATTTCTGTATTTTATTCCAGTCAAGTTCAAAAACCACCAAACAAACCACCAAACACTAAGATGGAATAAAAGCTTGCACAGAGCAGAGAAGACTTGATGTAAAACTGTGCTCTCTAGTGGAGAAATTTGATTTGGTGCAGTGAAAGTTCAAGCCACCCTGATCCATCCACTTAACCAACAGTTTTTCAGTGCAGAGAAAATATCAAGATTTTCCACAATACAAAAAGAGTTCAAGTGCCCAATTCAACATATTTATTACAACTGAGATACTGAGTTATGTAGCTGTAATCTGTCATATAAGGTTTCTAAATATAGAACAAAAAAATACCTAAGTCCCAAGACATGTGTTTATGTTTGTTTAGATTTTTTAAAATAATGGCACTCTGAATGCAATAGCAAAACATTTCATTTTAATGATGTGACACTTTATTATGGACCTATATAATACCCTACAGTGTGAGGAAAATAGGTTAGTTTTACATCAGATAACGCTGCTTGCTTTGCATGATGAAAATTAGGATTTTTCTCTAAATAAGGGTTTAATAACAAATTCTCAGTTTATTTATTTTTAGAGACAAGAACTGACATGATGACCAACTCCTTTATTTCTAGTCACACCACTAATCTTAAACCTGCCAAATGGGCCTTTGGGAAACTGTAACTCCTCTTCAATTTGTTTTCTTACAACCTATTGTCTTCATACATCTGCCCTACCACCTTTTTTTCTGGGCAGGTGATTGAATAATTGAAAGCATGAACTCAGTATAATACAGGTGGATTGGAATCTATTCTTTAAAGCAGTTTGGACACTTATGCTTCCCCAACAGTATACAGGATTTATCTTCTTTAAACTCTATCTTAACTAGGTGGTTGGAATATATCTGAAGTTAGAAGACAGTAAAAGAAAAACTTTCAAAAGTTAAATGTACAGCTAACTATGCTAATTTTAAAATACATTAAAATTTGACATGCATTTTGATTCAAGAGTAAGGATTTAGCAAGACACAGATATTAGATTCCTCTCATGTGGTTACAGAATGTTATGATCAGCTGTTGACTGTTATAGAAAGTGATACTCCCCCTTCCTCTTTGGCCCTTAGAGATGAAATATGGGGGAGGGGAAAAGTTATTTTTTGAACACATACAGGAACACAGAGCTACCTTTCATGTTTCAAGTTCCCTACTGTACTCAAAAAGGCAGCCTAGCAGTTCAGTGAAGGCTGCAGTCTAGATTTAAGATGCATAACAAGCTACAAAGAGAATCAAAGAAGTTAAAAGATTTGCCAGCTAGATATTTTTTTAAATGGAAAAAAGTTCATAACTGATGTTCTGCCTGGAGCAAGGAAAGAACTTCACTGACTTCCAGCATAACTGCTGCTGATATGGCAGCAATTGAAATGCTTGTATTTTGTTAATCCCCTGCTAGCAAGCAGATTTCCTGAGTTCCTACACTGGTAGTCATAAAAATTTTGAGCTGGGCAGCAGTGGTCAGTGATTGGGTGAAAGGAAAACCAGCTCTACTTCAGGACTTTTGTCGTATCATTTAATAGAGAGATCAATAAGAACTCGGTAATAAACTGTAGTTGGAGTATGTCTAAATATTTACGGTTATTTATTTAAATATTTATGAAGTGCTGGAACTCTGCAAGACACTGTTTCCATTTACTATTCCCCTGCAACTTTTCACGATGTTCTTTAAGTGTGTACTTCACATGGCTGTAATCTCTTAAACCACCTGCAAGAAAAAAATCTTTTCATCTAAAACAGTCATTCAGTTAAAAAGCCAGAAACACCAGCAAGATATCCCTTGAAGTCCTGTATGGTTACTGTTACAGACAGGTAACAAAGAGAGTGATCTTATAAATGTTTAGTTTAAAATTCAGTGGTAGTCATGCAAAATGAACACACAGTTATGAGCATATTGCAGCACCACTTGCAGTTAACTGGTAGGTACCACCAGCTGTGTTGCAGTAATACCTGCCAGTCACACCAGTGTGTGTGTGGATGGGAGGCAGCCCAGTCACTGAGACACATCTGTTGTTCTAAGTCTCATTCGAGAGTCCTTATGTTTGCAAAACCTCCATTTTCAGTTACAAAAGCGTTATCAAGGCAAGGCAGAAGTTTCTCTGCGCTTTGCGGACTCAGGTAACTGTGTTACATTAGTTTGTTCACCATCAAAAGACATTAAAAATACCAAAGAGTTATGCCTTAAGTTGTAAAACATCTAAAAAACAGGTCCAAAGTTGTATGAAAATTATACGATCAAACTTGGCACTCAATTTACCTTATGTTAAAAGTGAAAACATGCAATACCTTCCAATTAAATCAACCTGCATTTCACGAGGGGAGAAAAAGAGAGACCAAAATCCCAAACAATTCATTCTGACTTCAAATTCCATCCTAGAAGACAACTTTGTGAGGTTTTTGGGACAGAGCTAGGAGTCATCCACAGTGACAAATTACAGTTGCCACTACAAACACTACCACAAAAGACCATTTTAAGGATCATTTACAATAACCCCTTCTGAAGGTATTGTGCAAAGAACACCAAAGCTTGTACTGACCTATTTATAATTCAAGTACTCTCCCAACTCCATATTAAAGAGGTTTTAGAGAATATGAAAGCACAGTCCAGGGGTCCTCATAAGACAGAGCAGATTTCAGCCTTCTCTCAGTTTCCTACATCTCAACAGTTGCAGAAGTGCCATTTGTGTAGCCACCTTTGGACTTCATGTGGTCCTGAATTGATACAGCCTGGAAAAAAAGTTTATTAGAACATGCATTTTATAAATTCTGGTTGCCAGAGCAATTATTAAAAGCATCAATTTGAAAAGACAGGTGGGCCATATGTTTACAGTGCTACGTTCCAACTGTAGTAGGGAAAAATAACAACTAGACCTGGGATTATTAAATACTATTTTAAGTCAGTGTATGAGATGTGTTTTGCTGTCCAAAATCCACTTATTCTTACATCCCTCACCCTGGCACAGCTTTGACTTCAAGGTGATGTGTTATCTGCTCCCAGTATCAAGTGGATTCACAGAATCCATATCCAAAAGGTTCTCATTATACGTAAAGATACCGAGGGAATGGGCACTTGCTGAGTGTATCTCCCACAGTATCTCATGTTTACAAACCCAAAGACAGTTCTGTTCTGATGCTCTTCTATTAATTAAAAAAAAAAAAGTCAGATTTGTCTCTGTCTTACAATTATCTAGTATTTTATTAACTGCCTGCTCTACAGGCTACTGAGTGGAGGTCTCTGCTTACCCAAGAGGTGCACACTTACTGATGTGTAGTCACTGCTCATCTCTCCTGCCCCAACATGTGCAGTGTGTACAAAATTCATTGGCTCTCCAATCATATTCCGGTCCAGTCTCCGACGCCTCTTCTATAAAAAAGAAGATATCTTGGGTCTCTGTTCAGAAAACATGAGCAGCTTTCAGACAGAAAGAAGCAGCTGAGATAAAAATAGATAGCCAGCACTGACCCCTAATTAAACCTCACAGCAACCAGGCTGAAGTTTCAGACTGTTCGCAGTGAGAAAAGATCAAAGTCACTTTTATTACTGCTAATTACATTTTAGCAAGAACTTCATGTTGGAAAGTCAGAGTCCGAAAACTGCCAACAGTCATATGGTCCAAGTTTCTGGCAAAGCATACATAGTTCAAACAGACTGGTTTTGGCTTTTGCATTACTTTGCCCAAATTAATCAAAACGACAGGACAATGAGAGTGTTTTCTCTGTAACTAAAAGAAAAAATTTAAAATCTGAAAAATGATGACAGTTGTGCATCTACCTACCGGCTGGGGCTGTTCACCATTGCACCAGTTAAAACAAACCAGGAATTCAGTCATTATATTTCTCAGGAGGTAATAAGGTCTTGTTAAGTGAAATTATTTCTCTGGGAGTTTGAGCAGTGTGAGGACCAAGATGCAGTTCCTCAAGTGAGCTTAGAAAGGAATTGCTTGTGCAGGTTCACCAGTAAAGATCACAGAATGCATCTGATCAGTATACCTGTAAAGAGATTATTATTTATGTTTACATTAAAAGATATCAAAGTTTTGTAAGATTTACTAAGCAATAGGTAATTTGTAAGACTAAAGCAAGACTGTTAAATTCTTAAACACACCTGGAAAAGGGAGTAGCATCGATTTAAAATCAGTATGTCAGTGTCAGAAATCAGGGGTAAGAACTCTATGTATTTACTCACAGACAGTAACATAAGTTCTTTACAGAAATATAATAAAAACAATGCTAGAATTGAGGTCTTGTTCAACAGTCCATGATTTGTCTGTAAGCAGAGCTAGCCAATACTTATGAATTATTTACTGAAAGAAACTAACTTTGAACCACAACAGATTGACCACTTAACATTTACGAACTGATGCAAAAGAAAGTTTGGGCCTTACATCTGACATGGGTACTCTTCTTAGACACAGAAAAGCTTAAAGCAAAGAGCCTTGTACAACTCCAAATAGCCCTTAAAAGAGAAAAGAAGAGCCGCCTTGTATACCAGCAAGAGAAACCATTCATCAGAGCCTAGAGCTTCCCAGAATATACAAAACTATTAGCATGGCACTCCTGAACTGGAGACACAACCAGGAGACTCACTGACTCTATGTGCCCTGCAGCCAGGATACAGCCCAACTTCTAATAGTCACTGACTTTTTTTTTTTTTTTTTTTTTTTTTTTTCCTTCGAATCAAACCTAGGGCTATAGAGTACCCTTTCATATCAACTTTTTCATTAAAACAATATTAACAACACGTTCGTTTATAAAGAAGGTTTTGTTATTTTTTCAAGCTTACAGTTTAACAGAAGTTACAGCTTCAGCAATTCAGTCTTTCTGAACACCCACGAAAGCTCTCACAACCAAACAGCATAAGCGTCCCCCTTCACAGGCATTTCTTATGTAGTCCCACGATTACGTAATTAGCACATCTATTTCTTTCACCTTTGTGGTTTCCTTACACTTCATCGCTTCTCACACTTCAAGCACATCTCTTAAATTTCTGCCATTTATCTTTCAAAGCATTTGTTAAGTCTGTCCCTTCGCTTTAGGTAGTTCATATGATACATTACTGCAGAACGTGTCATATATTTTTCATTTTATCCTGGGTGGATAAATTTTTCACCTCACCTCATCCTCTCACAACGGTCTTTATCACCACTAGAAGGAACAGCGGCCCACACAACCGTAAGAACATGCAGAAGCCGAAGCTTTTGCTATCACTTCGCATGCAGATTTCTGGGGTTTCTTGCATGTTAACGAGACCATACCAAAGCTAAGATTTTTTTAAAAATCATGAAGTGCGTCCCTCTGCAGTGATAACCTATTTCGAGAGCAGACTGACCGAGATGACAGCATCCCCATCCCACAGTAAGGGCTGAACTCCTGCCGTCCTCCTGCCCTCCCCCCAATGTGTCCATCTCCCTCCGTGGGGCTCCGCGCGTACCTCGGGGTTTCCTGCAGCTCCCGGGGAGTCCTGCCGGGATGGTGTGTCCTCATTCGAGCGCTGGCGCACAGCCAGCTCCCGTCTCGGCGACTCCAGCACGTTCACAGTTCATATTCCTGGGCTATAATTAGTCCTGCTGGCCAAGCAGGAGCGCTGCGCTGCGATCCCGTGCCCTGCGGCGGTTCCTGGGCTGCGGGAGGAGGCGCTGCCCGAGTCCGCTCGCTGCGAGCCCCACGCGAGCCCACAGGTGTCAGAACAGCAGAGCGGAGACCAAAAATAGCGCCCTGGTTTGGCGTCAGATTTGTGCAGCCGAGCAGTTTTGTCAGCACTCCCCCTGCAGCCCGTGGCTCACTTCCACCCCTGCGGCAGCTCTGCAGGTGTCCCCGGGCACACGGCGTGCTCGGCGCCTTCCTGTTGTGTTTTACACCACGACGCTTCTTTTCCGCTGCCTGAGCCAGAGAATCATCCCCCAGGGCGGCAATGTTCGCACTGGGGCATGGGACACTACCTTGCTCCCGGAGACTCGAGGTCTCCACGCTAACCGGGAGAATTTTAAGGACACCCTAATGTCTCCAGGCTCACCCAGGACTAGTGAAAAGCCAACAAGAATCCCCAAACCGAGGAGAAAACAACATTTTGTCACAGTTGGCACGCGGAGTAGAGCGGGACAATATCCTGTTGTTCTTTCCCTCTGTTTTTCACCATGGCAGCAGTATCATCGAGCAGAGGGGACAAAGGGCCTGGGAAATGGCTAGCACGCGCAGACACGGATGCTGGATCCCATGGCAGGATGCACTGCCCTTCTGGAGCCCGGAGCCTTAAAGTGCCCAAGAGCTTCGTGAAGGCTCAGATTTACTTTCCCGAGCATAACACTCGATTTGTTGTACCACTGCTGTGTATTAAAAAGTATTTAAAATATTCTGGTGTTTTACTTACAAAATATCAATGGAAAATATTTGCCCGAATCAAAACAAAAGAATCCTCTTTGCATAGACGTGAGAGGTACACAGTGATCCTGATAATTAACAACACTAAACGTTTATTCTTCCCAACTTTAGACTCAGAGTCTGATAATGTAAAATTCTTGGCTGGAGCTGTTAGTGAAGGACAATGAGGGTACAGCTCGTGTAATATTATCACACAGCAGGCACAGGCTGCCATCACCCTGCCCCAATTCAGTATTAAACTGTGATTAACTGAGTCCAGTTGCCATTTTCGTTCCAGCTCTTTCAGCAGTGAGTTGATGTGAGAAGCATACTTCAGCCTAATTGCCACCGTGCCTCTAATTCGTTCATTATCCTTTGCTCATTTGATATCTACATCCTGTTAAAATCCTCCAACAATTCTATGTTCGTGTATTTGAACAGCAAGGTGTGGTAAAAAATCAGCAGAACTTGTATTTCAAATAATGGTTTTGAGCATGAAACTTGAAGAGTGCATCTTGCTTGGTTAAAGGTGAGGAGTATAAGACAATAAATGACCGAGACTTTGGAAGAACCTTGGAGACAAACAGCTAAAATCCTGCTGTAGAGTGAGTTTAACTGCTTGCAAGTAACATCCTGATTTTACCGGTGTATGCACAGATTCCAAACTGAGTTTGGGGTGCAGTCCTCACTCTACATAATAATGCTATTATTCAGCATGAATGTATCTATTGCTCTTCTGCCATCCTGGAACTTTATGGAGCTGAGAATAGGGTTTCACCTGAGAGCTTCATTAATCTAGGTGTGTTGGTATTTTTAACCTAAAGAATTTAGGTGTAGTCTGTGAGGAGCTCCTCCTTTTCAAAGCTATATATTCAAAGCACATATATTTAAAAAATAACAACAACCTCCCCACAAACAAACAAACCAACCACCACCAAAAATACCCCAAACCACAAAGGCAGCTCTTCTATTTCACAGTGAAAATGAGCTAAATGACTGTAATCACAAAATGAAAAAAATGTATTTTCAACTATTTTCAACCATTCCTTCTCAAAAAAGAAGAAAAGCCAAGAGGCCAGATTATGTGTTCCCTTTGGAAGTCAAAAATAACTGTGAAAGAAATCAACTGAGATTTGCCTGTGGTCTTACCAGAAGAAAATTAGCAAAAATCACAAAAGGATGAGAAGGAAGCAAATGGTTGGCAACACACCAACCACTGGCATTGCAAACATGGTGAACGGAGTTACTGGCTTGTAAATTAGGGGATTTAATGTTACCAAAAATAAATTCAGATTAATTTACCAGAAAAAAAAAAAAAAGAAAAAAGAAAAAAGAAAGAAAGCTGTGACCATAAATTTCCCTTCCCTATAAAAGGATGAAAGCCCTAACAAGAAAAGGTGAAGTCCCTCAGGCACAGCCGTTTGGAGGAGTCCGAGCCCCGGCAGCCGCTGCCGAGGGACTGACACAACCGCCCGGGAGAAGCGTGAGGGACGCAGGGGAAGCAGGGGCTGCTCGGGGCTGTTTCCCGATCGGCTCTGCCCGGACTCCCTCAGCTCCCTCATGGCCCGGCCCGGCCCGAGGACGCGCCGTGACCTTCACACACGCCGGGCCGCGCGCTCCGCCAGGGGGCGCCCTGCGCACCGCGAGAGCGGCCTCCCCGCCGCGCCGCGCCCTCACGGGGAGCCACGGCCGGTCCATACCCCGGCCCCGCCGCCGCCCGATCCCAGCGCAGCTCCTCGGGGCCGAGAGCCGGGCCGGTGTCCAGAGCGGGCCACGGGCAGCACCATTGTAAAAGGGCCCGACCGAGCGCCTAGCGCTGCCGCGGCTCCTCCCCCGCGCTGCGCCCCCAGAGCCGCATGGGGGCGCCACGCCCCCGCCATCGGCGGGCCCGCCCGTGCCCGGCGCGGCGCCGAACGAGCGCCCCCCAGCGGCCGCGCCGTAACACCGCCCGGCCTGACCGAGCCAATCAGCGCTCGGCCCCCGCACAGCGCCGCTCCCCATTGGCCGGGCGGCGGCGGCCGCCCAATGGGCGCGGCGGGGCGCGAGGGGAAGGCGCGCGCGCGGGGGAGCCACCCCCCTTTGCGGAGCGCGCGGCGCGGCGCGGAGCGGCCCTGCTGTGCCCGGACACCATGGCGCGCACCCGCAGCTGACGGTGGGCCTCTCCCCTCCACCTTCTCCTCTTCTCCGGCCCCTTCCTCCCCCTGCCCGGGTCCCGGCTCAGGCACGTAGGCGGCCGGTACTGGAGACACCGGGTCCCCCCCCCTCCCAGCCCCTCAGGACAGGCGGTAGGAGTCGGGCCGGGCGGCCGCAGGACGCGCCATGAACATCATCATCGGCATCGGCGGGTGAGAGCGGGGGCCGGGCCGGGGGGGGCGGCTCGAGGTGCGGGGCAGGCGCGGGTCCGTTCGGCCGGCGTTCCCGGTGCCGCAGTGCCGGGCGGTGTGCGGGGTGCGCGGTCCCCACGTGGCGCTCCCCGACGGCCGCGCTCTCGCTGCAGGGTCACGAACGGCGGCAAGACCACCCTGACTCGGCGGCTGATGCGGGCCCTGCCCAACTGCAGCGTGGTGCACCAGGACGACTTCTTCAAGGTGAGCGGGCCCTGCCGGCCGCGGGAGGGCGCGGGGTGACCCCCGCGGGCTTCCGCCCGCGCTGCTGGCGCCGTGCCCGCCCTGCGCCGCCTCTGCAGAGCCTGGCGGGGCCCGTGCGCCCGGCGGATAAGCGCTCCGGCCTGTCCGGGTCTCTTCGGTCCCCATGGAGGGCTGCACGATGTGCTCGTGTCGGTGGGAAGATAGAGGAGCGGGCGGCTTTATCTGAGCCTCGTACTGCTGGTTTTTATCTGCATGCAAAGAAACCTGGTGGGGGTGAAAAGCCTTCTTTTGGTAGCTTCAGGGTTTGGGTCTTGAATTTCGCTTTGAAATGGGTATTGAGCTTCTCGGTAGTTGTCCTGACCAAGTAGGTTTTTTTTTTTCTTATTACTGTTTCAGCCCCAAGATGAAATAGAAGTTGAAGATGGGTTTAAACAGTATGATGGTAAGCCTCTCTTGCCGTGTTTCAAATTATAACTTTATGTGCACTGTTTTGTACTGACTGTATTACTAGATAATATTTAATTACTGCTTAATGATAGTTGCCTCTTTTGTCTTAGTGATTAGCGCACTAGATATGGAAGCCATGATGAGCACCATAAATGCTTGGATAAAAAACCCAGTCAAGTTTGAACGTTCTCATGGGATCAACAACACACTGGATGCCCAGATCTTGCCAGATAAGGAGGGAGGAGATGAAACAATCCACATTCTTATCGTTGAAGGCTTCCTGCTTTACACATACAGGTAATCAAATATGCACCCATACATTTTGATTTTCACATTTTATGGTACTGCTGAGCTTAGGTGTCACGAGTCTGAAGGTCACTCTAGGTACAGGAAATGGGTGTAGTTTTACCTCTCCCTTTTTTGCTATTGTAACCAAGCACGTGACTCTTTCAGGCCGCTGATTGACGTATTCCACCATCGGTACTTTCTTTCCATTCCATATGAAGAGTGTAAAAGGAGAAGAAGGTAAATCTGTCTTGAGTTTCCTTGTTAGTCCGGTAATATCTTGCTCTGCTCAAGATTTTGTTTCTGTGAAGCTTTTAGGTAAGAAGGGATAAATGCTAATGTAGATGTTTTATTAGAAGACTGCAGCTTCCTTCAATGAACTAACCTAAAGCTTCCTACCAAGCTGTTTTGTTTGTATATGTAATGCTCAGTTTCTGCACAGACCCTTCACTAGCCTTTTCCCTTGCTGGTTTTCCAGTGATAGGGTTTCCAGATCTTGAACTATGTGGGGTTTTACATTTGGCTGTATTGTTGTATTTATACACTGTTCTTAATGCAAATGGAAAGTATTAAACTTGAAGTTATATTTCAAGAGGAGTAAGTGAACAGCTATTTTACCCAAAGTTCTGCTAAAGCTTTCAGCGTTTACTCATCAACGTTTAGATCAGTCTGTCTTGGGAATTCTTTTTTGCATCTTGAACTCTTTGGACCTGCCCATCAAATTCCAACTGACTTGGGTATCTTTGTGCTTGCAGCTCTTGCTAAATACTGACTTTCCATAAACTCAGAAACCACACTGGAGGCAACAGGCTCAGGCCAGTGTGTAGAGAAACTGAGTGAAATGTCATTTCTCTGAACTGTCATTACACTGCATTTGAGTAACAATGCCTTCATTTACAGTTCAAGGAATTACACTGTCCCAGACCCACCTGGACTGTTTGATGGCCACGTTTGGCCCATGTATGTAAAGCACAGGAAGATAATGGAAGAACTTGGAGTTGATGTGGGTAAGTCTGTAATGGCAGAATCACTTAATGGGATCGCTTTTCAGACCTGCTCTACACACACTTGTTAGGTGCATGAGAGGAGGTGAATGAAGCAGGTGGAGGGAGTGTATTTCTTGTACCAGTCAGGTGCATGCTTTTTAAATTGGAATCTGGCAAGCTTAGAGACATTCAGTTATAGCCCTCTTTACTTTCTTTCAGTGCACTTGAATGGGACAAAATCGAAGGAGGAGCTGTTTAATGATGTGTATGGGCAGATCCAGAATAAGATCGAAGAATTACTTAACACCCAGGTATGTGTTCATGCTTATAACTGCAATTCAAAGGCAACTGTTTCAAAGCCTGTGTTAAAAGTGCGTGAAGCTATAATTTAAATATGTTCATTTATATCTTTGTTTAGAAATAAGCTGCTGCTGCTGATTCTTGTGAGTGAAGATGACTCCTGTTTGCTCCACGCTGTCTACCTGACTGCCACTAAAGTTCCAGCTTCTGTGAAGACTCAACTCTTAAGTTCAACTTTGTTCAACCTTCCCTGAAAACTTGAGTTCTGTATGGTCATAATTAAAAAGCACTCCCCTCTTGTCTGCGA